TCTCAGGCTCTGAGGAGTGTTGATATGAATAATATAACAATCTCACATTTATAAACCCATGCTTTCCTGAGTTATCAAGAGTCCTGATTTCTAACCAAATAAAATGGATTTATACCATCCCTTCAACCACCTTTGGTAAGAAAATACATGTCTCATTTCCAGTTTGCAATTATATTCACAGCCAATTCTTAGATTAGATTCAGATTTTTCATAATTTCTAACCCTAATGATAAATGTAAGAATCTGAAATTAATGAGGTCTTGGTTTATCCAGCAGATATAATTATTAACTGTAAAATATTGCAGGAAATGTAAAGTATCATTTTAGGAGGGTGGAGGAATACAAAGAGACCCTAAGCGCATGTGTTCTAGAGCACCCTCATTTTACATTTGTACCCTCATAGGGGCACAGTAAAAATATAAGGAGATAATACATGTAAAAAGCTTAGGTCACTGTCTGGTACATGTAAAGAAATTTAAAAAGAGAGCTATTTTTAAAATTAATACTGATTCTTGATTGTTTAAATCTATGTCCCTTCAAATATTTTTTGAAACTATGTAATTTGTTTTAATTCTTCATTAACAGAGAAACTAAAAGAATTTCATCTTTACTGCTCTTAGAAAAAGAAGCATTATGGATGCTAATGAGTTCTTGTGAGTACCAGGTAAGTTGTCATTGTCATAACTGTATAGCATTTAGGATGGAGACATAGGCTCAAAGATAAAGGAATAGTTCCCAAAGATGGAGAAGAGTAATAGAAAAATATTTCAATACATCAATTCTTTTTCTTTTTTAAAGAGATGCATTTAAGATGCTATTTCTTTCTTTCTTTTTGTTTTTTGAGACTTACTCTGTTGTCCTGGCTAGAGGCCATGGCATCAGCCTAGCTCACAGCAACCTCAAACTCCTGGGCTCAAGTGATCCTCCTCAGCCTCCCAGGTAGCCGGGACTACAGGCATGTGCCACCATGCCCGGCTAATTTTTTCTATCCTTTGGTAGAGACGGGGTCTGGCTCTTGCTCAGGCTGGTCTCGAACTCCTGAGCTCAAATGATCTGCCCGCCTTGGCTTCCCAGAGTGTTAGGCTTACAGGCATGAGCCACCGTGCCCGGCCAAGATACTATTTCTTAAGTGATAAAAATGGGCGATGGTACTAGAAAAGGTGGTTGAAATCTGTAAGAACAGTGTCCATCCTTTAAAATGAAAAAAAAAAAAAAGCTTCCTATGATCTTTTCTCTGAAGAAATATTGTTAAACTTTCCGATTATGAAAAATGGTTTATATCTCATTTCTGAAATGATGTGACATTAATACAATTTAAAAGATCTCATTCATTCAAATAAACCCAAAGATCTCAATTTCTGTAAAGGATCTGACTCTAGCTCTAAAACTAGCCTGTAGTTTAACTAGATATAGTCTTTACTTTCAGAAGACCATGGCCTACTAATTGAGCTTCATTCATGTCCCTTAACCAGTCTCCATGGCCTTCACATTCTCATCATTCTGATCCTGGGCTTCATGGCCTTCTGTCCACTGACTCTCCAGCTTTTTAGCTCCCACGTTCCCTGGCACTGCTCTGTGAAACCTACTCTCCTTGTAAAATGTTCCCCACACTCGCCAGAACTAACGTACTTGATGTCATGGAAAATCCTTCTCTATTAAATGATTACCCAGGACCCACTTCCTCTATGAAATTGTTCTCATAGAGTTCAGTCTAACTTCTATTCTGAGTCCTTCCTCCTGCCTATTTCATACACGTATGAGTATATCTGCATAAACTCAGGCATCCCTTAAAAATGTGAATTCTTTTTGAATGGAATTCCTGAATAAAAATCTTCCATGTCTATGAGAACTCCCACTTGGCTAATGAAGAAACATATGGCATGTTAGTGAATATTGATGGATTTATACAACTTTATTTTTTAGTGCTAATATTCAACAAACAGAAGTAAAGCCGTTTTTTGGCATGAAGAATTTGACTCTGGAGCCAAACGATTTAGTTACTAATCCCAGCTCTATTACTTACCGCTGTGTTATTCTCTGTAAACCTCAGTTGTTTCATCTGTTAAATGAGGGTAATAAATAGTATCTACTTAATAGGATTATTTTGAGGATTAAATAGATTATCTGTATGAAATACTTTAAAAGGGGGCATGGTACATATAGAGCATTCAATAAATGTTCGTTGTTATTGCTATTTATTTATTAAAAAATGCATATAACCAGTAATTTTCTGAGGTTTGACTATTTACCTCATGTAATGGAGGTCACCAAGTTATCAAAGTATCAGTTTGGTCTGAATGCAAGCATGTGCCTCTCCTTCAAAAGTTCTAAAATCATATTTAAGACTGATAGCATAAAAATAAATTCTTGTTTCTTATCATACAATACCTAAAACAACTGGACTTGCCAATATTCTTCACTTATTTCTGCCCATAGGACAAGTGTAAAGTCATCCATTACCTCCTCGGGGCCAAATCCTACGATGCCACAATTCCTATCCCATGTGACCTCTCCTATGTTAGACGTTGTGGACCCTCCCTCTTCCTCTTCTCTGACTTACAGAACACACACCCTGTTGGTTTTCTTCCTGTTTTGGGTTTCTTTTTCTTTTTTTGCTGAATACTTCTTAGTCACTTTTGAGCGCCTCTTCCTATTCTCCAAATAGTGCTATTGCCTAGATCTCTTTCCTTCTCACTGCACACACTTACCCTGGTGATGCCATTCTCCCCCGGAATTTCGCCAAGCTGATGACTCCATATCCACCTTTTGGCTGCCACTGCCTGGAATTCAGGCCCTCATCATTTCCAGCCTGGCCTACAGAAATTGCCTCTGAAGGTTCCTCTACCTACCACCTTTTCCACATCTTAAAATTTCTCCTTCGCACAGCCACCAAAATGACCTTCCTAAAATATAAATATAAATCTGACTTTGTCATCTTTAAACTAGAACTCTTCAATGATTTCTCTTACCTTGCTAGCCAAGATCTTAAAGTTTAGTAGTTCTATCCCTTCTGCTTCTTAATGACCCACATTAAGAAGGCACACTACAAGTTTTTATCACTCAGAATAAATATATCTAGTTCGAACCAAGAACATAATTCTAAAAGTTTTCTCAGGACTGTATTTTTACTCAAATCAGTTTCCATTCTAAATCGTTGGCTGTACTCTTAAAATCAATTAAAATGGTTCTTAAATCCAGTAAATGAAAATTACCAGATCTTTTAATTTGGAATTTTTTATAACAAGGCAATTATGGATAACACATACACACATTATATATTGTTGCTTTTGTTTTTATATCCAAGAAAGAATTTAGATTTTTCATGATAGGGAAAGATATAAGAACATATACTTGACTATACTTAAAATCAGTTGAATAAAGGAAGCAGAGTAATAATAATAGAGATTGGTTATTCTATATTGGCACCATTGTCCAAGAGTTTGGAGTTTGGATCTATTATAAATTTCCAATCCCCATATTACAGAACTGCTAAAATTAATCTTTGCAAATCAAGGAACATTTGTTGCAATGCACATGTCTCAGAACCCTCTGTCAATGTATAGACACTATGTACAGGAATGTACATGAATTGAAGAGAAATTGCTAAAGAAAGAGGGGCAATGGCAAGACATGCTACATCAGGAGCCAAAGCTCTGAATTCTGTCTTGACCAGGGCCCTGCTTCCCAGAGGTGGTAAGAGTGAGCCAATTAATTAGTGCTTCAAGATGTCTCATATTCAGAATGAGGGGCTTTAATTACGCAGATATCGAAGGCCCTTGCCAGTTTTGAAATGGAGATGTTTAACTGTTGCATACTTAGAGAACAGAAAAGCCCTCCCAAAACATGCTTAGAGAAGTATCAAGTCCCCTTTGTGTCTCTGGTCATTCATAGTTCAAAGACCACTTATGTGTCCCGACTTGATTGGGCTCCCTAATCTACACTCATGCAAGCCTCTGCTATCAGGTGCTAACATTTTTAGCTTCCTCACTGCCTTAACCATGCTAGATATTTTCATATAATGTAGCCCAGACTGTTCTAGGCTCAACTCAACAAAAATTTCGGAGAGCATTAAACATAAAATCCCCCTGCTTGCAGGTACCAGTAAAGACACCTCCTGACATCTCCTCAGCCTTCAATTGACACAGACTGAGCACTTCAGAAGAGAAGGGCTGGAGGCATGACCAGTGTATGTTTTTAGCACCAGTTTCCTATGCTAGGGTTATAATCGCTGGATGCAGTAAAAATCAAGGTAGAATTGACTGTATCATACAAGTTAAGATATCTATATCATCACAGTCATAGCAGCTGGACATTATTTTTCTGCAGTGGCACTTTAATCTGTTAGATAGGCTTATAAGTGAATTGGATTGGTGTCATGATTTTGGACCACATTTGGCTTCATGATGAGCTGCAAGCCAGAGTCTATATAGTTTGACTTAGGACTCAGTAGCATAAGCAATAAAACATAATGAGGAAAAAAAAAAGTCTGCATTCTACAGTATATTGTCCCCAAAGCCATCCCAGCCTTGAATAGCTCTGCTGATACTTGAACATGGCCATTCTAGACTACTCTCTGCAAACCTTCCATAGAAAGAAAACCCTTGACATATAGTTACTATTGTACTTCTGCCAAATATAGTAGGTAGGGTCCTGAAAAGAAGAGGGAAAAAGAATGCAATGAGCCTATCTGCATTATTCAAACTAGAAAAAGAAGGCAATGTGCTTCATATAGCTCAAGCCCAGTGATCCACAATCCCTAAGCCACAAGTCTAAAACTCATAGAGAAATCCAGAAATCCTCTAGTTTGCTTTGATTTGAAGCCTTGTGCTTGTCAGAAGACATGTAAGCCTTAGAATTGAGTTAGGACAATGTGTAAAGGTGTGACACAATAAATAAATAGACAAGTCACCCAGCCAGCATGAGTCCAGGGAGAGTGAAATCCCTCTCACAGATCACAAGCCCCACAGCCACCTGGAACAAGAGCTCTGAGTGTCACTTACCCTATGACGATACAGGAGATGGCAGTTCCCAAGAAGGCATATGTTAAAATAGAGCCTAAGTTTTGAAAAAAGTGTCTCTGGGGAGAAAAAAAATATTTAATAGAGTACATCAGTATTTTTTCTTCGTGCAACAGGAAATAAAAATAAATGTACGCATTTCACAGGCCATCCCTTCTCTCACTGCTTAGGCAAATTTTGGTTTTTGGAGCCTCACTCCTGGCTGTATAAAGACTTAACTGATTTACATTGCAAAGGCCAGGGGAAAAAACACAAGAAATAGAAAAAAACAAACAAACAAAACTATCTGGAAGGTGACTGGGTAGGGATGACGGAGACAACTGCCAGAACTGGCTGGACCTGAGAGGGAAGGACGGGATTGAGGAAATGTCTATTCAGGACTCTGGGTCAATTAATGGAAGAGACAGTTTTCAAGAAGTTTTATTATAAATGCAACTCCTTCAGCATTTAAAAAAACACTGTTCTAAAAGATTTAAGTTGCCTTTTGAATTTTATTGGATCTCTGACTTTTATATGTATTCTGAATGTGATGAAACCAAAAAATTAAAATCTATAACAATTCACTTTATTTTAATGAATCAGCCAAAAATGACTCCTACTATTGGGGCTGGGAATGAGGAAGGATGACCCAAGTAAATCCAGCCTTCTAAATCTATTCAAATGCTTGCTTAAGGAAAACTCAGTTGTTTAAATGAAATCTGAGTAGCCAGAACTGACAGCAAGAGGGAGCCTGGGGTACAAGAGAAAATCCAGTCTGTAATGAGCAAGCTGCCTGGCTGTTGGAGATCGGTCAAGGGGAGGAGAGCCCCAGGCGTCTCTCAGGGTGAGAGATGAGCAGCAGAAAAGCAGCTACCGCACTTCTGCTTTTCAAAATCCATCTGGGACAGAGGCTCACTCTGTGGCTTAGGGAATGCCAATACTTAAACTGTTACGTCAATTACAATGTACAAAATGTGCATAGTCAGGCTGTGCCTCAGTGTTGTCAAACAAACGCATAGAAACTGCAGAACTGGACTTTCTCTCTCTGAGCATCAACATCATTCTTGAGTTTTCACTTTGATGGATAAACTCAACATTAATTAACAAGTGAACTCTTTGGTTACAATCATGTAGAATAATACTGTCCAATAGAAATATAATAGAAGTCACATAGGTCATTTTAAAATTTTCTACTAGCCACATTAAAATGTTTGTTAAAAAAGTAAAATGCATTTTGATAATGTTTTCATTAATCTAGTATATCTGAAATACTATCATTTCTATCTGAAATCAATACAATACATTACTGAGATATATCACATTCTTTTTTTTAAAATAAAAAGTCTTTAAAACCCGGTGTGTATTTTGTACTTAAAGTACATCTCAATTCAGACTACCCACATTTCAAGAGTTCAACATGTGACTAACAGGCTGTGTCTTGGACAGAGGAGGTTTAGAAGAATTCTAGAGCTTTAAGCATTCAGGTTTGAATCTGTATCACATAATCTAAGATAATGATACTCTTACCCCATAAAAATAACTATTTTTTTTCATTAGTGCTGGAAAAATTCTCTACTTAATGATAAAATAAGAAAATGATTACTATATATTTACCTTCTTTAGACTATATCCGGCATGAAATATAATCGGTGGCAGTAAAACATTGAAGAAGATTTCTGGGTCAAATGTCATCTGCCAGAAAAGACAAAAGTACAGTTAGAAAGATTCTCTTTGGGCCATTAAAAAATGTGTCTTAGAAACAGTTATAGTTTTTATGGCTAAGGTTTTATGAGGCATATTAACACACTATTAAATTAGCAGAGATGAAAACAGGAGAAAATAGCTGGGTGCAGTGGCTCATGCCTATAATCCTAACACTTTGGACTTTGGGAGGCTGAAGCAGGAAGTTCACTTGAGGCCAGGAGTTCAAAACCAGCCTGGGCAATATAGCAAGGCCCTGCCTCTACAAAAAAGAGGAAAAAAAATTAGCCAGGCATGGTGGCATGCACCTGTAGTCCCAACTACTCAGGAAGCTGAGGCACAATGATTGCTTGAGCCCAGCAGTGTGAGGTGGCAGTGAGCTATGATGATGCCACTGCACTCTAGTCCTGGCAACAGAGTGAGATCCTGTCTCAGGAAAAAAAAAAAAGAAACAAAGAGAGAAAGAAAGAAAATGAAAATAGGAGAAAATAAAATTTAGAAATTCACAAATATAGCATAACTAATTTTTAAACATAAAACCTATATATGGCCATCCTATAGCTAACAATATTAACAAAAACTCAATGAAATTCAAGAAAAAAAATTTATTTTGATTAGTTATCCATTCCTCATATTTTAAATATTTTTTATTTTATTTTTTCTCATTAAAGGAATTGGTGGTGCTAACTTATTTTTGGCTTCTGACAAAGAATTACTTAAAGTTTTCCCCAAATAAAACATTTTTTTGAAATCTGGTCTTTACTTTCCCTGCTTATCCTATTCCAAAGTTTAAAATATTTTCTAGACTCCATGAAAAAATACATTTGAAAATAAAAATGAATTTTTCTCATATTTATTTATTGGTTTTTATTTAAATGTTAAAATAAACTTGGCCACAAAACAAGTATGACTTCTTATGAAGTACAATGAAATGACTTGTACAAATTCTTGAATCCAATATTTGTTGGGTAATCTGAAAATAAACATTCATTTAATCTCGAAAACTCTCCTAGACCCATCTTATTTCCCTATTTCTCTTATCAGTTATCTCTCTCTCTCTCTCTCTCTCTCTCTCTCTCTCTCTCTCTCTCTCTCTCACACACACACACACACACACACACACATACACATTGTCATTCATTATTTTACCAATAAGCCTTCTCACCATTAGAGTACTCATCAAAATCTTTCAGATGTATGGGTTTCACACACACAATTTCCTTCCCCTTTTATGCCTGAATTCTTACTCCTTACATCTCCAAAGTTACTTCCCTGTGCAATCTACCTGATCCTCCTGTCCAAACTTACCATTCTATCTTCTGTGCTTTTCTGGCACTTTGGACCCTCTCTGTGGCATCTGTGTTTCATAACTCTCATTGTGTGATTACTGGTTTGCATTTGTTTCCCTCATTAAATTGTGTCGCAAGGATGCCTTCATCAATCCTGCAGTGCCGCCAGCCCTCCCAGTGCCTAGCCCGGCGCTCAGCACACACTGGCTCCATCTTACATGCTCTGAAGGAAATGAGTAAGAAGCTACGACAGAATAACAAGGAGGAATTGGGTTCAGGTGGGTGGTCAGGGAGGGTCTCTGAGGAAGTGACATTTAAGCTGAGATCCAAAAGCAGAAAAGGAGCCAAAACTGGAGATGAGCAGGGAGGGCAGAGCAGCCCAGGAGAGAATAACACAGGCAAATTACTTTTAAAAGTCAGCTCTATTAAAATGGAATGAATTATACTTGCCCACATTGCAGATAAGGATTATTTAAGTAAGAATTAAGAAAAGCATCTCTTGGTTCCATTTCTCTTTCACTTTGGGCCTGCTTGGGTATTGTCAGAAGCTCCCATCCCCCTTCCCCACAGTAGCCCTTCAATTCTGCTCATCTAATTAATACTTGGGAAGGGGAAGGTGGAGGAAGTAGGAGCCATCTAACTCAGCCTGGGCCCCTCCCACAAATCTCATCAGGTACCCACTGAGGCCACAACCCCCGTACCAATGAGCATTCAGGTGGGTCAGGTACAGCCCATCTTTGACCCTTAGCTCTCTGTGACATTCTCAGCTCTCTCCCTGGCCCCTGTGGCCTTGCTCTTATGGTACCTCTTGCCCTACTGGCTCCTCTGATGTCAGTTCATCATGACTCAAATCCATGAGAAGTAGGATGTGATGGGCCCAGCTCATCTTTCATATCAGGCCTAGGGGGCCCCTGGTGCTGGCATGGTCACAGACTGGCTGACTTTGAGTAGGTAACAAATTCCTGGCCCCATCAGCCATGGATCCTAGAGTCCACACAAGTTCTTCCTTCTTAAGAAATGAAAGATGTGTCAAGATTTCTAAAGTTTAGTCTTCCATGGGTACCACCTCTAAGCATTTAGCATGATGCTCTACATATATCAATAGAAAGAGGGAGAAATGATGGGATTATTTCCAACCCAGTTCTGCTCTTGAGCAGGCCACTGGCCTTATGTTTTCTTGCTTTGATAATTGTTTCACCCATGTTACTCTAGTTTCTGCTAATAATGGGCAAACTTCTTTAGCTAAGAACATGCTCTAACATTTATTTGTTTTTCCACATAATAACTAATTCATTACCTGACAGGAGAGGAATATATTTTGTAGCTTATCAACTCATTGGAGAGGGTACTTGGGAAGCCCTCAGTATAAGAACATTCCTTGGCTCTCTCAAGCCTTTCCTTGGCTTCTCCACAACTCAAATCATGTATGAGTGCCAGGGTACAACCTACATTTAAACACCTGAGAAAAAGAGAGAAGTTGACAAGAAGAAAGGGAGAAAAGTTTTCTTAGCCAGTACCTACTCTGTTCCAGGCATATCACTGGATGTTTTAGGAATGGCATTTCATTTAGTCCTCACAGGAAAAAAGAGAGGGCGGAATTAATCTATTTCAATGGCTCAGTCATGAGGTCATTAATTTCAGGATGTATGCTAGACACTGGGAATCACACAGCGAATAAATCCATTTTACAGAGAAGGAAACTAAAGCTTAGAGAGGTTTTGACTTGTCAAAGTCAGGCAGCAACCAAATGATGGAGCTAGGATTATAGACCCAGGTTTTTGTCTCCAAAGCCTGTCTGTGTTTTGTATATATAATCATGTGCCACATAACAATATTTTGGTCAATGATAAACTACATATCCAACAGTGGCCTCATAAGATTATAATACCAGGATTGTAAGACCATATTTTTACTGTGCCTTTTCTATGTTGGAGGTTTAGATACACAATAACTTATCATTTCGCTACAACTGCCTCAGTATTTAGCAGTGACATGCTATACAACTTTGTAGCCTAGGAGCAAACGGCTATACCATATAGCCTAGGTGTGTAGTAGACTGTACCATCTAGATTTGCATAAGTACTTACTGTGATATTTGCACAACAAAGAAATTGCCTAATGATACATTTTTTTAGAACTCACCCCCATCATTAAGCGACATATAACTGTACCCTAACATAGTGCATCCTGAAAAATAGGAAGGGTCTACCTTCTATTCTGCCATCAGAAATTACTTAAGTTTTATTCTGCCCACACCTTGTTGTCCTTGAGCAAATTTTTGTGATTGGAGTTGTAAACAAAGTAGGCTGCTTATTATGTGATTTTAGACAATTTAACTCAGTGTCATTTTCTAAAAAATGAGTGGATCCTACTACATGGGAAAATTCATTTGTTTGAAAAATAGTCACAAATGACCTCTCTGTGTCAGGGCCATACTAGACTCCAGAGGCAGAGTGGGGCACAAGATGAAGTCCTGCCCTCTGGAGTTTCCCTGCTACTCGTGAAGGCAGAGTAAGCTCCCTACCTACCTACCTACTAACCAACTGGCCAATAACCATGCTGAGCTGTAGTAAGTGCTCCGGAGGAAGTAATTAAGGGGCTGTAACAGAGAATAACAAGGAGGGATTGGGTTTAGGTGGGACGGTCAGGGAGAGTCTCCGAGGAAGTGACACTTAAGTCCAGATCCAAAAGCAGAAAAGGGGCCCAAACAGGAGGCGAGTGAAAGGCAGAGGATTCTAGGAGAGAACAACATGTGGTAAGATCTAAGGCAGGAAACACCTGTGTGTTCGTGAAACCCAAGAAAGGCTGGCGTGGCCGGCAGAGCCAGCAAGGGCCAGAGTGTGGGGAGATGAGGCTGAAAAAGAGGGAGGTGAGATTGGACACAGCATGAGGTGATTCCAAATGGAAAAGGTGCCAGTGGAGGCCTGGAGCAGTCCTTTTGAATGCAACAATCAATACAGAAGGTAAAAATGATGATTTGCTTACCCCATATATAATATAAACCTAATGTGTTAAATTTTATTCTCAGAAAATCAATCGAATTTTACCAGGTTTTGTGTTTTTTAATTGATTCTGGGCTCTTCGTGCATCTGACATTTGGTCCAGAAATTTTGTAATGGCTTTTAGAGAGAAGTGTTAATGTTTTGGCTCTACATTTCAGCTCCCTAACCTCTGGCTTTTAATATATAAAAACATAGACACTAAGTTACAAGAAAAACAAATCATTTCTGCTTATGATCTAGGTTCCTTTTGTTATATAAATTATTTGCAGTAGTGTTTAACTGCATGGATACTTGGAGCCAAGCTGCCTGGGTTCAAATCCTAACCTCTTTACCTTGGACAGATGTTTAAACTCCCTGTGTCTGAGTTTCTTCATCTTTATGATGAACATAATAATATGCCACCTAATTCCAAGGTGGTTATAAGAATCAAATGAATTAATATTAAATATGTGTAAAACCCTTGCAGCACTGTCTGACATCTAGGAAGCATGTTCTGTTTATTTCTAAAGAAAATAAAATGTGAATAAACGTTTTTAAGTTATCCTATTTGAAGAAACTGCCCTATTGTCAGGACCTTCTGAAGGTTACACAACTGTGTAAAATTTGAGGGAAGATATTAATTTTTCTACTAAGTTTACTCTCTTTCTAAGATTATCAGAAACACCATTATTGATCTATTTTTTGAGGCTTCTTTAACAAT